CGAGAAATTATTGTTAACAAGGTGTTATCAGAACGTTTCAGAAAAAACATTAAAATGGAGGGTCATTCCATTGATGGAGATTATTTTTCCTATGAAGGAGGGGTTGGTGAATTACCCGATAGTTTTATAGCGAATGTTGGCTGAGAGGAAAAGATAGAAAAAAGAATAGAAGAAGTCAGAAAACAAGAAGAGAAAGCAAAACAACAAAACAAAGAAATTAGGGAAAAAGTCGAAAAAGAAGGCTGTCCTCCTGAAAATCATTCTTTTCATTTTAGTAGATGAGAGGGGGATAACCTTGTTGAAAAAAAAAGTTTGTTTTTGAATTATAATCCGTTTGAAGCAGAAGTTGACAAAAACTCTTCCAAAATCCAAGAAATCACTGGTAAAGAAAGCAAGGAAAAGGCAAAAGTTGAAAATCCCTCTAATTCTGATAAACGAGAACGCCAAATAGAAAAAGAAACTAACCAACAAAATCAAACTCAAAAATTAGACAGTAAAGATAACGATAGCAAGAATATTTATTATGGAATAGGTGCAGTTTCTTTAACTCTGTTGGTGATAAGTGCGGCAGTAGTTGTTTGATTGAAGAAGAAAAAGTAATTATTTAACCATGCCCCCAATTAAATTTAAAGTTATTAATTAGAGATGGTTTGACCGAATAACAGGTATGTTGGAGGACATGGGAGACCATCAAGAGGAGGTGGCGGAGGCTCTTCTCCCCCTTCCTCTCCTGGGTGGTTGCAGTTAATTTGAGTAGTTATTTTACTGCTTTTTGTTCTAATAATTTGGATATTGGTAGAAGGAAGGAGGTGATTAAAGAGGAGAAGATTATATTACTATTTGTGTAAAAAACATCAAAAAAGTAAAAAAAATATGAGGAAGAGGAGGAAAAGAAAACTATAATTTCTCCTAATATCTATTCTGAACTAATGAATAATTAATTTTGTTATGGAATAGATATTAGAAAGTGAATCAATTAGAATATATTAAAAAGGCCGGACAAGCCGTCAGCAACATTTTAAAGAGGCTAAAAAAAGAAATAAAACCTGGTGTCTCGGGGAAAGATTTGGATAAATTAGCCCGGCAATTAATGTTAAATAAAGCATAGGTTCAGGTTTTTTTCAATTTTCAAAAAACCAATTATAAGGAAGAAATTCAGTGAGCAGAATTAGGTTAAAGGCGTTACATATTCCATACTGGTTCATTAATTGAATAAGTAATTCCAATAAACAACAATTAATTACTGTGACAATTAAAACCAAGAGCAAAATATGGCCTCAACCACCTTCTTTGGCGTTTTTTCAGTAAGTTAGAAAACTGAACATTACTGAACCAAGAAAAATTAGAACCCGATTGATTCAAAATCTTCACTTCTTCATTTTAATCTGATCCATTTTTTCAGGGTTAAGAAAAATGAAAAATCACTGCAAAAAAAAACTGACTTGCAAATGGATAGTAACGCCAAAAAGAAAAAGGTTTCTTTTAACCGGAAGTTTGCCGTCACTTGCTGGCTTCATTCATTCGCTCGGAAAATGAATAACTTTGGCTCCTAAGAGGTAAACTAACAAACCTAGCAAACTAGCCAAGCAAGTAAAAAAGAAAATCCGGTATTGGCGACTAACTCTCTTTTTTTTGATATTATTTGCCATAGTTAATTATCATTATTTAGTATCTTCGGCAGTTTCTGCCTGAATAAGCACCTTTAACCTTCTTAATAAATCGACTTGTTTTTGTCCTTTCGGCAATCACTTTTCTTTTAACTCTTTGGACTCAATATGCTTTTTCACATAATTTCTGAAATAATTTATGCTAAATTCTTGCTTCCCAACCGTTACTTTCCATTCTTTGGATCCATCTTTTTTCTTCTGCTGGGAAAATTCAGTATTTTGGAAAATTTTAACAATCTTGTCAAGTCGAATGGCAGTTATGGTTTGAAATTCACCGCCAGCTTTGGTAATTTTCTCTTGAGCCTCCTGAGAAAAATCTGCTGCTTGGATAATCAAATTTTTAGTAAGGTTTCCTTCGCCTAATATTTTTACTCTAGGTAAATATATTTCCTGCCCATTCACTACTTTTTCATCTCCTTCTAAATTTGCTAAATTAATTATTTGATAAGTGGTTTTAGAAGCGGTTTTAAATCCCCCGCCTCGCTTGGGAAAACGGAGATAAACTTTAGTTTGTCCTCCCTCAAAACCAGGCGGAGTACCACCTCCCGTTCGTGCCGTTTGTCCTTTACCACCACGACCGCAAGTTTTCCCCCTTCCTGAACCAATTCCTCGGCCAACAATTTTTTTTTTCTTAACGATAGTAGTTAAATAATTATTAATATTCATATTTTTTTCCAGTTAATTTATCCAAAGCCAAAAATGCTGCTCGAACAACATTCAATTTATTTCGCGAACCAATTATTTTGATACTAACATCTTTAATTCCTAAATATTTAAATAGAATGCTGAGTGTTTCACTAGCTTTAATACCACTTCCGGGAGGAGTAGGTTTTAGAATCAACTTAGTTGCTTTGTAGTCAACTACTATATCACGAGGGATAGTGCGGGATGGAGTAGAGAAATGAGCAATTAATTCTTTTTGGGTCTTGCGGTAAGCTTTTTCCCGAGGGATAGTGCGGGATGGAGTAGAGAAATGAGCAATTAATTCTTTTTGGGTCTTGCGGTAAGCTTTTTTGAAGGCATCCATGGCTTCTTTGCTTTTTCCACGAGCACAAGCAACTGCATTTTTTTCTTTGTCTTGGGTTAAAACTAAACTGGTAAAACTAAATCTTCGACCACCTTTGGTTACTTTTACTGGTCTGGTAGTCTTTAAAACCTCACGCAAATAGGCATGAGTGTAACGTTCCCTTTCGTGATCTTTTTTTTCTGACTTATCCGAAACCAACTCAGACTTTTTACCTGCTACCTGTGCATCGTTAATTTTCTCCTTTTCACCTTTGGCTAATTGGGGGTTTTCTCCTATAATATTAGTCTTTTCTTTTTCCATTAGAAGTTAATTGCTTGATCCCGCATTGCTTTACAAAACGCTTCACACTTGCCATGATAAAGACGAGCATTGCGGTCAAAAATAATTTTTTTTACTCCACCTTTCTTTAACTTATCGGCAAAAAGTATTCCGAGTTTTTTGGCATAATCTTTATTCTTGCGAGAATAATCGCCCTCCTCCTTAAAACTCTCAGTAGAAGCAAAAGCAATAGTGTTACCTACTATGTCATCAATAGCTTGTGCACGTAAATAGCGATTGGATACACACAAGACCACTCGTGGTCTTTCCATTGAACCTTTAATTAGATTACTCCTTCTTTTTCTTATTTTCTGACAAGTCTTTCTGTCGACGATTTTCGTCATATATCTTATATTTTATAATTTTTTTCTTTTTTCTTGCTCGATTACTAAAAACCTTTTAGTTTTAGAACGAGGCCGATCACTTTTAATTTTTACTTTATCTCCTAATTGTAAAGGAAATTCGGTTTCTTCGTAATGAACTTTTTTAGTTTTTACAATCTTTTGAGGTTTAAAGTATTTAGGGTGGATTTTAATCGAAACTAATTCCACGGTAGCAGTTTTAGGATTTTTTAGTTCAATTACAGTTCCGGTAAATACTTGATTCATATATTATTTATTTTTATTGTTTTTTCGCTTCTTCAAATAAATTTCAATTCCAAAAATGCCCAATAAAATAATTCCTCCTCCGATTCCTAGTATTCATGGCCAGGGACTGCTACTTGAAGAATTAATTTCGTGGTTTTGGCGTGGTGTAGGCGAAATTAATTGTTTTAACTCTTCATGAACTCGGGAAAGTTCCGACTTTTTTTTAGTCAAGTTTGCTTTATAGGTATCATTACTAGGCTCGTGGCTTAACTTAGTTTCCAACTCGGCAATTTCCTGTTCCAGTGTTTTAATTTGAGTTTCTTTTTCGAGCAATTGCCCTTTCAATTTTTGGCAACCAGCACATTTTTTCTTTTCAATATCGGCCAAAACTCGCCTTTTAACATTCTCTATTTCGATAATTTTTTCGGTGCGGTTTATTTCGTTTTCCCAGTCTTGGTTTTCCGGGTCTAAATCGTTAACAGTAAGACGTTTTGGCTCCCTTTGAAAGGCATTTTTGATTTCCTCGATGGCATTAATTCTTTGACCTTTGGTAATCGGGTCGGATTTTTTTCCTTCTTTTTGCTCCTTCTCATATTCGGCTTTTTCCTCGTTAGTGAAAGGTGGATGAAAATGAAAATTTTCTCGTTCTTCGGCAGAAAGAGAACTAGAGATTTCGGCGAGGATTTTTTTGCCTTCTGCGGCATTACCTTTCATGTCAACTTTGTAAAGTTTAGGAGTATTAGCCATTATTCCTCCAATATCTTTAAAAACTTTGGCGACTTTTTGTGGATCAGTGGGTTTTTCTTTAGCTTTTCGCCATAAGTAGGCAGTAGTTTCGTGGTAAATTTTATCACTTTGGTTTTCCAGTATTTCCTTAATCTCTAATAGAAAATGTTTTAATTTGGTCGGACAATTAGATGCTGTTATTCCGCTATTATGAAGCCACTGCTGAAATACTTCCTGATTTTCTTGGCGTTGTTCAGCATTATTTTGGGGGGGATTTTTGGTATCCATAACTGCTCCAAGAAAAAGTATTAATTGAGTGCGAAAAGTATCCTCCGTGTTTACTAAACTACATTTTTGTAAGGTTAATTCGGGAGTAATGCGATTATGAAGTTGTTGTTTCTTTTTGAAATTAGGATACACCCCTAACTTTTCAATATAATATTCTAAAGTTTCCAATGGGAAAAGAATATCCCATCCTTTTTGTTCATTTCGGTTCATGGTATTTTGTTTGTGTTATTACTTTTAAATTTATTTTAAACTTTTTCATTTAGCAAAGAATGCTTTTTAGCGAGCAACCGGGCAATTTCTTTTTTTACTTGCTTGATTTGATGAGTTTTAACTAATTGCCCCATCTTGCTTTTCATTTGTAAAACTGTCAGAGCAGAACGATATTGGGCTAATAGTTCTTCAAACGTCAATGGTTTTTTAACTTCTTGTTTCTTATCTTTATTCATGGTTATTTTTTTGAATAGTATTTAAATTTTTTCTTTCGACCACTCTATACTTAACTTTTGCATCACCATTATTTTTAGGCAATTTATAACTAACTTGTGCTAAAACTTTGTAGGCCACATCTTTTGGTAATCCCTGAACTTCGAAAATTACGGTTCCGGCTTTGACTACTGCTACCCAACTTTCCACTGAACCCTTACCCGAACCCATTCTGACTTCCAAAGGCTTTTTTGTTTTTCCTAATTGAGGAAAAACTCTAATCCACATTTTGCCGGTTTTTTTGACAAAAGGACTAATCACTTTCCGTCCCGCTTCAATTGCTCGATTACTGATGTAAGTTCCCTCCTGGGCTTGCAAACCATAGTCACCAAAATTAACTTCTTGATTTCCTTTGGCATGACCCTCATACTTTATGATGTGAGAATAACGATATTTAGTTTT